CATGGTTCGAGTATCTTCATAATCTGGCACGGGGATGGTATCATTCTTCCTTAATCTACGTCATTCCAAATAGTCTGGAGTAAGCATATTTTTAGCGGCTACGACATCCATACAGAACATTTTCTTCCATGACTCAGATACTTCTTTGACCTTTTTGTTGTAGTTGTTCCCATGATATACAAATTCCGATCCAGATATTCCGTGCATTGTTGGGACAAACTAGCGTGCCCCATACTGTTAAAGTGCTAAAAATTAGAGAATATCCAAATCCTCCCCATAATCCAAGTAACGTCATAGTTTCTGAATCTCCACATCGGAAAAGAATGTCACTGTGGGTTAACCAATGAGCTCTCCAAACAATATCCCTATCCTGAAGGTGTGTGAATACTTTCATCCACTTTTCTTTTAGGATATCTTCTTTTCATTTCAGGGTAAGGAATTCCTCCAAAGGAGAATAAGTGGTGCTGAATCGATGATAAGAAATCATGTTAGTATTCCAGAAGTGACTATGGAGAAGTTGTGCATACCCTATAAATCTTCCTCCACCACTCTTTCTGTAGTGGTTGAGAGAGCAAAAAGTTTCAGCTAAAATTATCGATGTTGGATTTACTCGTTTCGGGAGTTGTTCAAACAGTTCCACCACAGCCGCCTCAATGTATCCCAAAGTCTTTGGGAAGATAACCAAACTATAAAGGCATTGTCTTCCATTCATCGGGATGATTCTTCATTAGTTTCTTGATATGGGTCCAAACAATTCATTCCCCACTACCTTTGTGTTGAATCCGATCAGTTACCCATTTCTTATCTACCCCTGTAACTTTTGCCAGCCTGTTCTTGAAAGGCTGACTTTTGATGTGCTTGATGTAAACCCAATCCATTCTTATTCCCTCGCAATGCAACAAAGGGGTATATTCTTCGATTGTGGGTATTATTTCTTCTTGGTTGAATGTAAAACGGTTGTATCCTGAATTCCAGAATTGTACTAGGGCTCTGATTAGGGGCTCATCTGTCTTGACATAGAGTGGAAGTGCAATATCACTATACCGCTTGCAGAACCTCCGTTTCTGGTCACTTTTCCAACTGTCCCAAATGCTTCATAGTTCTTGAACATCATTATACATTAGGTTAACAAAAGCATAGCCAACCAGATCTGACACATAGCTTCCTTACAGACTGTCTCCCTTTTATTTCTGAGTCTTTTCGGACCACAGTCGTACCTCGACATTTTCACCTCTTACATTACAACCCCTTTGTCCATTAATGCAGATTATTTTTTTGTAATGAACATTTTTTGTGTGTGGATAAATTACCTCTTTTTATTATGCAAATGATAAAAAAAAGAAAATATGAAAGAAAAATCAGTTAATAAGATAGAAATAATAATAATAAAAGTAAAAAATGATAAACTGCATGCTTTGAACCTGAAGTAAAACATCATAGGTTTTGAAATGGAGTTTTCGGGTGGGCTCTAATTCTCTGTAGTCTTTCGGTTTAGTTTCTAAAGAAGGTACCAGTGTTCTCCTTGCTGGTGCCCCTTAGGCTTGCTAAACCCTCAGTCTTAAGTCCATTACAAGCTTATGTGAACCAAGTTAAACTTGAGAGGATACATTCCCTTATGTCCATACGGAGAATAAATTCACACGAAGACATAAGGTATATGAATCTCGAAGGTTACTTGTTAGGCCTATACAGAGAATAAATTCTCACGAAGGTGTTGCTTTCACCTCCACTTAAGAAAATGTTTGGAGCTCAACCGTCTTTCAAGCGGGCCCAGAATTGGGCTTCGACTTAAATAAAATATGTTAGAGCCACCATCGATCATTTATCTTTAAAAATAAAAACTAGGTTGATCGGACACCTCGGTTTATTTTCTTACCTAATCTGCGTCTTACCAAAAATATGTCGGGCTCGGGGGTCAGTTACAGTCAAGGAAGGATTAGCACCCTTGTATTGTCCTTTCAATTTCCAGTTGTCTTCATAACGAAAATTGCAAGTTAAATTAGAAATAAAAATTCGATCCATAACAATGTTGAATTGATCAAAAGAAAAAAAAGGGTTGCATTATAATACTTTAAACAGAAAAAGGAAAGACATACATGCATGCTGAAAAATAAATAGAAATGAAGTTAACAGACTGAGAAATAGAAATAAATAGAACAACCCCAGATCACACATATTGAAAACTCAAAGTAATAAAAAAAAAACTGATGTAAAGAAAAATGGTAATTAAGCTAAAAAAACCAATTTCAAGATTATGTACAAACAAAGACAAAAATTAAATAATTAAAACAAAAATAAAAAAATAAATAGCAAATGTGGGATCAAGAATTCATAAAATATAATGGTTTTAAAAATATAATTAAATAAAAACATGAATTGAATAAAGAGAATGACAAAATTGAAGGAAAAAATAAAGTCATTGATGAATTTAGAAGAAAAAAACGTAATTAAAACTAAATTAAAGGCACGAAATTGATTGCAAAAATAATTTAAGGACCAACACCGCAATTTAACCATACCCGCATGAAAACACGAGGATTCTCATGGGATCCGAGCTGGTTTTCGGGTCACTATAAAATCCCAAATGTTACAAACAAAATTCATTTCCTTCTACTTTCAAAAAACAGATCAAAACCAAAGCCTTTGTTTTCTCTGAAGTGTTCTTCGACAAACGAAGAACATTCATCCGGAGTTCATGGCAACCCAGATTCCGGTCACTCTCCGCTTCGTCGGCCACCGTGGAACAGCGCTAGCCGCCGTTTATCGGTGATGAAATCAAAATGTTTTTACACCGTTCGAAAGCGTATTTTCTCCTCTTTTCAAAAATCTACTTTGTTTTCATAAACAAGCCTCGAGGAAGGCTAGATCTGAAAAAAAAAAAACTTTCAAAAAAGCCTTCCCCTTCAATCCTTGGATTCTCCTTTTCGAATCAGAAATAAAACCAAAACAACCCCAAACACAACCACATATAAACCAGCCAAGAAGGGTAAAATAAATACCTATTTTATTTATGCTTTTTCTTTCAAATGTTACAAGTGTTCTCTTGCTTAATTCTCTTGTGTGTTTTCGTTTTACATTTACATTAATTTATAGCTTCGAGAACCCACTATTTTTGGGTTGATTTAGAGTTATATTTTAACTAAAACACTGATTTGTTTTGTTGTTGTTGGTTGTACACCGAATGATTCGGGTTGTGTTGTTGTTGCTGGAATGAGGACTCTCCAAGAGTCATAGGGCTGACCGACGGTTCCCCTTAAATGTTCGGCGTTGAAACCCTAATATCCGGCACATATGGACTGTTGGATTGGTTCAGATCCAATAGATCTGGTGCTGTGGTGCTGATGTCAAAAGGGTAAAACCCTAAGATCTTGCATGTATGAACCGTTGGATTGGTTCAGATCCAACGATTCTGATTACACGACGCAGGTATCAAAAGGGTAAAACCCTAAACGCACGTTGGGCTCTTTCATCCCCTCTGGACTTGAACCTTGGACTTGGATCTTGGACTCCCTGTTTAGGCCGAATAACACAAAAATGAAAGAAAATAAATAAAAAAGAAAATGAAAATAATAAATTTACAATAATATAATAAATAATATTTATAATATATATTATACATATACATATTTTCTAAAACTATATATTATATATATGTTTTCAAAATATTTTTAAAAACCTATATATTATATTTATTTTCAAAAACTATATATTATATACATGTTTTCAAAACCTTTATATTATATATTTTCAAACTATTTTCAAAAATTATATTTTATATATAGGTTTTCATGTTTTCAAAATTATATATATATTATATATATATGTTTTCAAAATTATATATATATTATATATATTAAATAACACTCCGTGCAAAAATAAGTGACTATATCACTCACTCAGCATCGATTGTCTATTGGACAATACATGTTGTTATGTTTGGAATTAGTGAAGGTTAGTTTATTGGAATTATATTACACACCACCTATCCCAATCCCTTGAATTTCGCGAGATGTTTCTTAATACTTGTGAGACTCTGCTATGAAAACAACATAATTAATTAAATATAAAAGTTGTCCATATAAATGATAATGTTAAGAGTAAATCACATCAAGCATGAATTTTATTATCTTTTTATTTAATTCATTATACTTTTAAATTTTTTTTAATTCATTCACTGAATTTTATGGATTGAACTTTTTTTTCACTCGATTATTTTTCTCTAACAATTGGATGATGTGGTTTTTTATTAATACATAATAATGATATATAAATTATTAATATTTAATTATGATGTATAATATCTAAAATAAAACAAAATATTCTTAAATTTACAATAAACCCAAATCCTAAATTAAAACCCCACCCTTACCCTTACCCTCCCACTCCCCACCCCCACCCTCACCCTCGCCCTCACCATCCTACTGTAATTTTAAATCTATTTAGGGTTGAAGGTGAGTTTCATCTCCATCTTTAAATATTAATCCCAATTCAAAAATCTTCATCTTTAAACACGAATCCCAATTAAAACAACTGCAAGAAGTTAACCATTATAGCACAATGCAAAAAGCTTCATCAATGACTTTACTTTTCAAGTGAAGCTAAAATGGGAAACAATTGAGTTGACCCAACGTTTACAATATTTTTTGAAATGAATTTTTGAGTTCAGAATATTTTCTGAGTTCAAAAGATGAAAATAACCACACACACACAAAAACCTATTTGAGATAACGAAAGTGAGGAAGAAATTATTTTAAAAATGAATCTTTCTTTTTTAAGTATAGCATATGGTCCAATTTTTCCAATCTGTTTAGCTTGGCGCAACAATTACTCAATGGTTTGACCATCGGATTTGTGACCCAACTTCGGAGGATGATGAAACGACGAACGGCTATATCCATGAAGTTAAAGATATTTTTAGGTTAAAAGGACATCCGATTTGTGTTCAAGAGGATAAAACGGGTTTAGTGAAAAAATTTAAGACTAATTAGCCACTATGAACGATGATCGATGATGACTGGCATGGTGATCGACGCATTAGTCGGCTGCGACGAATGGTGGTCGGAATTCGAGCAGGTTGAAAGAAAATAAAAGGAACAAAAAAAGAAAAGAAAGAAAGTGAAAGAAATTTTGAGTTTTTATATAGATACAAAACAACGTTGTTTTGGTAGGAATTTAATTTTTTAAAAACAACATCGTTTTGATGTAATGTATCATATCATAACGCCGTTAAATAATTAACGGCATAGTGACCAAAACATGAGTAATGTCAAAGTTCAATAAATAAATTGAAAAAAATAAAAATACATTGAATGAAATAGGAGAGAGAATAAAGTTTAGTGATGATTTGTATAATTTACCTTAATCTAAATATAAAAGTAAGTACTTAAATTATATATTTTTTTGTATTTAGGTGTTTAAATTTTTTTGTCAATTTAGATGTTTAATGTTACAAAAAAATATCTTAAAAATATTATTATATTTAAAAAAAAATATTTTCCCTAAAATTATATAAAAAAGCAAAATCCCTAACCTAACCTTATCATCCTTGTCGGCTGTCGTCGCATATAACTCTTCTATGAAAGAACTCTCTTTCGTTGTTTAGTTTTATGTTCTATCTAAGCAAGGGCTTTGAGTTCCGTTGATGCAAAAGCAAAATAGGACTTTGAAAAACAATCACATATTCCCTCTGAGGGCAGTTTATGATTTTCATCCATTTATGTTGTTTTTCTTTGTATGGGTTTTAATTTGCTCACTACTGGCTCTTAGCTCAATAACTTAGATTTGAGAAATGGTTGATTCCTTATTATTATGTTAAGCTATAATAAAAAGGAGAGATAAAAAGATAATAATAATTGTATCAAATTTATAATTTTTTTTATTAATTTGTGAAAAGTATAAAATAATATATATTCAAAAATAACTTTCAACCATTTGACATTGATCGTTCGTACTTCTAACATTCTTAATATTTAAACCCGAAAATCTTAAAATATAACAATAATTTTTTTATTGCCGAGGCACTGAACCGTGCTACTAAATTTATAATTATATCTTAATAACGACACTATTATATTTTTGCATTGAAAGCAACACGTTTCACACAAAACAATAAAAATAAAAAAAATTGTTCCACTAACCTAATCCCAAGCTCCGACCATTGCAAAAACCACAAGTTTGCTTTGCGTTTCTCTCTTCATTTCCCTCAAATATTTCTCTTTCCTTGTCTAAATCATGGCCGAATCCTTTGTATTTAACGTTGCAGAAAATGTTATTTCGAAACTATGCGATCTTGCTAGCCAAGAAATTATCCTAGCTTGGGGCATTCGGGCGGACCTTGAAAAGCTTGAAAGCACGTTAACGACCATCAAAGCTGTGCTTTTAGATGCTGAAGAGAAACAGGTTCATCGGAATCAACTCCGGGTTTGGCTACAAAGGCTGAGGGACGCCTGTTAGACACAGAAGATGTATTGGATGAATTCGAGATTGAAGCATTGAGGAAGCAAGATCGGAAAGAGAGTAGGATCGGAGAGAAGGTGGGTTATTTCCTTTCAAGTTCAAACCCACTTGCTTTTCGAGTTAATATGGCTCAAAAGATTAAAGAAGTACAACAGACCTTCCATGATCTTGCTGAGTTGAAAAACAACTTTCATCTCACAGAGATACATTATTGGCCAAGGCATGACCGGCGCTTCGACAGGGAGACCCACTCCTTCGTGCAAGCATCGGAGGTAATTGGCAGAGATCACGAGAAAACAAATTGTGAACCTGTTAACGCAAGATGATCCAGCTGGTGAGGAAGGTATACCCGTGCTTGCGATAGTTGGAATAGGAGGTCTGGGAAAACGGCTCTTGCCGAACTGGTTTTCAATGACATTTGTGTGCATAATCACTTTGAGTTGAAACTCTGGGTGTGCGTTTCCGAAGATTTTGATCTGCAACTATTGGTGCTAAAATTCGTTAAAGCCGAAAGGGGTGGTGATGGAGACCTTGGAAGCAAGAACTTGCAGCAATTGCAGATGGCATTGCGAGACTGCTTGAATGGTAAAAGGTATTTGCTTGTGTTGATGTCTGGAATGAGATAACAAAAAATGGGTGGAACTGAAACAGCTATACCCGGAGAGCTACCGGAAGCAAAATCATTGTTACCACTAGAAGCATAAAGTAGCAAAGATCACAGGTACAGTCTCCCCACACAAATTGAAAGCTCTTCCTTATAACAAATCTTTATCTTTGTTTCTCAAATTTGCTTTCAAGAAAGGGGAAGAGAAACAAAATCCAAACCTTGTGGAAATTGGCGAGGAAATTGTCAAGAAATGCAATGGAGTTCCACTGCTACTGAAGACATTGGGGAGTATGCTTTTCTCCAAAACTGCAGAGCGGGAGTGGGAACTTGTGAAAAATAGTGAGACTTGGAGATTAATGGAGAAAGATGATGAAATGGTTTATGTTCTAAAACTAAGTTATGATCAACTGTCTCCTCGGCTGAAGCAATGTTTTGCTTATTGCTTACTCTTCCCCAAGGATTATGAATTTATCGAGTTTGGGTTAATCTCATTTTGGATGGCTCATGGTCTGCTTGAATCATCGGATGAAAATGAAAATCCGTTTGACATTGGTAGGCAGTATTTGAACGAACTGTTGTCAAGATCTCTTTTTGAAGATTTTAATGTGGCATTTCTTTATGGTGTATTCAAAATGCATCATCTTTTACATGATCTGGCTCTATTGGTAGCGAAGAACGAGTGTTGTTTGGTAAACACTTTCAAGGAAAAGATTGCCCCAAGTATCCGGCATGTGAGGCTCATAAACTCCGATTCCTCCAACGAAAGTGCTTCCGATTTGGTAAATTAGGACATGTGCGTACACTAAGGTTTCCAAATATGGGAAAGACTGCAACCAGTAAATCCTTCAATGAAAATTGTCTCAGCAAGTTCCAACGTTTGAGGGTGCTTGATCTTTTTGGGTCTACTTTCGAGGTCTTGCCCAAATGGATTGGTAATTTGAAGCATTTAAGGTATCTCTCAACCTTTGTGACTGTCGCCACATGAAGAAACTCCCCAACTCCATTTGTGAGTTGCAGAATTTGCTCGGTCTTGGTTTTGCTGGTTGTGATCAAATTGAAGAGCTACCTAAGGATATGGGGAAGATGACCCGTCTCATATTCTTATCATTGGCCATGGATTAGAACACTTGAAATCTCTTCAATTCTTGATCATATGGGGCTGTGATAATCTGGAATATTTGTTTGAAGGGATTCAAAACCTCACATCTCTTCATACATTGGGTGTTGCCAGTTGCAAGAACTTGGTATCACTTCCACATGGTTTGAATAATCTTACTGCATTACAAACTCTAGTTATTGGGATTTGTGAGAAGCTTGTTTTGAGTGAGCCGCATGGATTCAAAGAGAAAGAAGATGATGATCATCAAGGTTTCAGCCTTCAATCATTGGAAACTACATGTTTACCAAAGCTGGAGAATCTACCCGTTGGCTTCTACGACGATCTACCAACACTTTGAAGAATCTGATGATTAAAGACTCTGAGAATCTCACAGCTTCACCGGAGTCGCACAATCTCACATCACTTGAAAAAGTTCAGATCATCCGTTTGCCAAAGTTATCATGTCTGCCAGAAACCATGCAGCGCCTCAAACGATTGTGTTGGGACCGTCGGCGCACCCCATGGGCGCAGCGGAAACAAAACTCGACGGTCTCACCAGCGATCCAAGTACGAAAAACTGAAATCAGGAGGAAGAGATGCGAATACTTATAGTGAGTTCCTTGAAAAACAGCAAGGACAACAGTGAATACTGGTGGTGTAGATCGGTTCCTTGTAGGTTCTTGTAAAGTTAGCAGTAATTATTAGAACAATTCTAATATTACATACAATGAGTGACATCTAGCAATATATCATTGTCACCTAAGTTACAAGAAAATACGATTCGACATATCATCTTGGTGATTAACTCTTTTATGTATTACATCCTTATGTCCTTTATATCTAGAATAGGCACAAGTCTTGGAATAGTCACACTTGTATAGCCCATTTATTGTTTCTTGATATCTATAGTAGACTTTAATTAACGAATAGTTTATGATATCTCATATCAACTTATTCGAGCATGGCCATGCGTTTCTAGTCTTACTCAATCAAGTGGCCTGTGATATATTTCCTATTATGTAGAAAGGACAAATCCTATCTTAATCATACACACCCACTACATATATTGAGATATATTCAATAACAGTCTTTATAGAGCAACCAGTTACGGAGCTTGTTTAGCTGCATCAAAACATACAACAATATATGTTGGGATAGTATTGATCTCAAGTCTGAGGATCATACATATAGTCATCACCATGAGCAATATTATGACTGTCACATAATAATCCAAGACATATGCTCACGGTCGGTCAATCCAATACATTGTTCTCTAACAATATAATCATGTATCAATTCTGACATCTCTATGTCAATGACAACGCGTTGTCATCAATCAATAACATGTTAGTCTTAAGCGTATTATTATTGTCCATGCCCATAATAATACTTGACTAGGGATCTTTTAATAATAACAATTATGTCATTATATGGACTTTATTATCTTCCAGTTTATGTTAAACACATGAAAATAATAGCGGCAATGCCTTTATTCAATAAAATCGGTAAATAAAAATATTATTACAATCATCATATGATTGGTCTTTGGGTATACTCTAACAATCTCCTACTAGCACTAAGACCAATCACTCACATATCTAATACCGAGTGACTTAGTGTGACAATCATGCCTCTGCTGTGTAAGAGGCTTCGTCAAGGGATCAACAATGTTGTCATCCGTGTGTACTCTACGTATTTCCACATCTCCTCGATCAATGATCTCTCGAATGAGATGAAAGTGCCTAAGAATATGTTTGGATCGTTGATGAGATCTGGGTTCCTTTGCTTGTGCAATAGCTCCATTATTGTCACAACGGAGTTCTACAATATCTTATATACTGGGAACAACCCCTAATTCCGATATGAACTTCTTGATCCAAACAGCCTCTTTTGCTGCTTCATTGGCTTGCAATGTATTCAGCCTCTGTTGTAGAATCAGCTATTGTGTCTTGCTTTGAACTTTTCCAGCCCCAGCACCTCCATTAAGACAAAACACAAAACCCGATTGCGATCGTGAGTCATCCTTGTCAGTTTGGAAGCTGGCATCAGTAACCTTTTATACTAAGCTCTTCCTCCCCTCCATAGACAAGAAATTTATCCTTAGTTCTTCTTAAGTACATAAGGATACTTGTAACCGCAACCTAGTGATTTTCACCAGGGTTTTCTTGATACCGACTCGTCATGCTTAGAGCATACGATACATCTGGTCGAGTACATATCATGGCATACATTATAGAACCAATAGCCGAAGCATATGGAATCTTATTCATCCGTTCTCTCTCTAGTGGAGTTGAAGGACACATTTCCTTAGAAAGAGAAATGACATGTCTCATAGGAAAAAAACCTTTCTTGGATTCTTCCATACTGAACCTTTTCAGCACTTTGTCTATATATGTACTTTGACTCAGACCTAGAAGTCGTCTTGATCTATCTCTATAGATCTTAACTCCTAAGATATATGTTGTCTTACCCAAATCTTTCATAGAAAAACAACTACTTAACCAAGTCTTAACTGACTGTAAAGTAGGTTTATCATTTCCTATGATGAGTATGTCATCTACATACAAGAATAGGAAAGAAACAATGCTCCCACTAGCCTTCTTATAAACACAAGGCTCATCTCTTCATTTCTGATAAAACCAAACTCTTTGATTGCATCATTGAAACGAAGATTCCAGCTTCGAGAAGCTTGCTTTAGTCCATAAATAGATCTCTGTAGCTTACAAACCTTTCCAGTATCTCCTAGAAAGACAAAACCTTCTGGTTGTGTCATATACACATCCTCTTCAAGTTTTCCATTAAGGAAGGTGGTTTTGACGTCCATTTTCCAGATTTCATAATCATGGAATGCAACTATTATGAGCAGGATCCGGATGGACTTAAACATAGCTACAGGGGATAATGTTTTGTCATAGTCTACACCATGAACTTATCGAAAACCTTTAGCGACTAATCGCCCCTTGTATGTTTGTACATTACCATCTATGTCGGTTTTCTTCTTGAAAACCCATTTACACCCTATAGGTTTGACCCCTTCAGGTGGTTCAACCAAAGTCCATACTTGGCTTACTGACATGGAATCCATCTCAGATCTCATGGCTTCAAGCCATTTCTCAGAGTTTGGGCTAGACACTGCCTCTTGATAGGTCCTGGGCTCATCTTGATCCATAAGAAGAACATCTCCATGTGTCGTAACGAGAAATCCAAATCTCTCAGGTGTACGATGTTCTCTTGTGGGTCTACGCAGTGATTGTGTTTCTAAATCTGTTGAATGCTCCTCAACAACTTTTGAAGCATGCTCAACTTCAGGTTCATTTATTTGTTGCTCTTGAACTTCTCCAAGTTCAATATTTCTACCATTCCCTTTCTTTGAGAGAAATTCTCTTTCGAGAAAAACTCATGTTTGAGCAACAAATATTTTGTTCTGGTTAGGGTTGAAGAAATAATATCCTTTAGTTTCTTTAGAATATCCAACAAATATACACTTATGAGATTTAGGTTCGAGCTTTGTAGACATCTGATATTTTACATAAGCTTCAGAACCCCAAATCTTCGTAAAAGACATACTAGGACGTTTCCCAGTCCATATCTCGTATGGTGTCTTTTGAACCAATTTAGATGGAACACGATTTAGTGTGAAAGCGGCTGTTTCAAGTGCATGTCCCCAAAAAGAAGACGGAAGATCACTATGACTCATCATCGATAGAACCATGTCTAACAGTGTTCGATTCCTTCTTTCAGAAACTCCATTCCACTGTGGTGTACCAGGTGGTGTAAGCTGTGAGACAATCCCACATTCTTTTAGGAGTTCATCAAACTCTATGCTTAAGTATTCTCCACCTCGATCTGATCGAAGTGCCTTAATACTCTTTCCTAGTTGATTTTGTACTTCATTTTTAAATTCCTTAAACTTTTCATGGGCTTCAGATTTATGGCGCATAAGATAAAATATACCCATACCGACTGAAGTCATCGACAAAAGTAATAAAGTAATGGAATCCACCTCTGGCTTGTGTATTCATTGGTCCACATACATCACTATGTATCAACCCCAATAAATCACTTGCTCACTCACCTTTACTATTAAAAGGACCTTTAGTCATTTTTCCCAACAAGCAAGATTCACATACATCATATTGTTCGAAAACAAATGAATCTAAGAATCCATCTTTATGGAGTTTTGATAAGTGCTTCTCACTTATATGGCCTAAATGACAATGCCAAAGATAAGTTTGATTCGAGTTATTTGTTTTTGATCTCTTAGTATTTATGTTATAAATAGTGTTATCTTGATCCAAAATATAGAGACCATTAACCAATTATGTCGAACCATAAAAAACACTATCGAGATAAAAAGAACAACAATTATTCTTACTAATAATCTCAAAGCCAATCTTGTAACCCCCTCAGACTGATGCGGATAACCCGATCCGATCTGGAATGTCACATTAGGGCCATCTGAGCGACCCACCGTAAAAATAACGAAAAAATTTAAAACTTTTTATCAAAACATGCAAACTCATAAAATGATTTATTATTATTCAGAAATAAAGTAGGTTTTCCAAACTCAGATATAAAACAAAATACAATCTACATGCCCCCTAATCACATGTATCATACTCTGCAAGCAACGCCGAAAGAACTCCCTTGCTGATGGTGATAGTTGCACTGGTACGATTCTTTTAACCTGCAATGGTGAGTAATAGAGTGAGCTTCGAAAAGCTCAGTAATACAGAACTACCAAGTGATGCTAAAGGACATGCAGATAAATGAAAAGCCACATAGTTTCCTTTTTGAATCAGACGTATACAATTTTTTTGGTAAATCTAAGGTTCCACTGGTAGTTCATCGATTTGAAGCCATAAAGATCATAGTTCGTAGGAAGTATTCAAAGTATGACATTTCCAGGAGATCAAATAGGATAACTAGTGTGTTCCAACAATACCATAAAATCATAATAAGTACACTTATCAAATGATAGTTCAGTAAATCCCATAAACCATATTCTAGTGGAGCTTTTTTAAGCTCGGATTTTAAAACCATCGTATAAAGAGTTAACCTAAGGGAACATCTTAGGGCCTGAGAGCCTACCCAAGAAAGTTTGGGGCCACAGGACCTACCTAAGAACACATCTTAGGGCCACGGGGCCTACCCAATAATAATCTCAGGGACGCAGAGCCTACCTAAGAGTCACATTAGGTCCATAAAAATTTTCCAGCTTGATCAGAGCTGTACTTTATAAATCTGTATCTCCAATATACAATTTATACCATGATACAAATCCATAAGCCATCACCATTAAGTCGGTGCATCCATAAAATAGTAACCATAGATTTCAGTGTACCTCATGTTAAAACAACAAAATAATTTATTAAAAAAATATAAGGAACACGCTAGAGAAATTCCAGTACTTATCAGAGGTATTTTACAATAATCAGCATAGATAACATGAAACTCATGTCTTTTGATCAGATTCTAGGAACGAGATCCTATTGAAGAGAATCGGTTACTAACCGATCTAATCAGACATTTAAGGTTGATACTTTAGAATTCCACTATGTTTTCATGTGCATCCGGAAATACTGGAGTGATTTGAGTCAAAAAAGAAGAAAAGAATATTCAGGGCAATTACCATCCATGACAATCGATCGGATTATCGAACAACTTGAGCTGAACAACTCTCAAAACTGATGCCTGTCGACTGGGCAATTCATTGCCCTTCCTGGTATTCACTCTATAATACCAACAATTCTTGTCCATAAATCATCTTCAGAATCATCGCTAAATATGCCTTAAGGAATCGAACATGCATCCATATAATCTTTGTTTTCTTTCCACATTACAACAATATCAAGAATTAATGACGTATTTGATTCTTAGTTTATAACCATAAGGACCGTACATCATACAAGTTTATTGTATTTCCAAACTCATCGAATTACTTACTAAATACTCTGTCATTAAGGTTCCTTGGTTCATTTAGCAATTAATGTTATCCCGGTTACTTCAGAGTTTTCCAGAGTAATTCAGACACTTCTGAGTTTCGGATACATATTGTACTTTCGTTCAGTTCACTTTGGTCATATACTAAAATCATTTTTGGTATTCGTGATTGATTTATCTCATGAATATCCACTTCTTAATATCGAATGCGCTCTATCGTTGAGCTGAGTACTTCCATAATTATTATCAATCCAAACTTGAGGAGACGAACTATCATTCAAGTGGTATCTCTTCCATTCAAGCACTAATATAGCACTAACATTGTTTGATTGGCTTAAATTGTGTTTCATAACATTAAAGAGCAGTACAACATCCATGTTTATTTGAATTTCTTAATTAATCCAAGACATTTACTTAGTATAGACCATAATGGCATTTTGGTCTTTTTGGTGCTCAATGTTTTTCCATTCATTTCAAAGCTTGAGGATATTTATTCATTTCTGAACTTAGTGATATTCTTGAGTAATTCCATTACAACGATATTTTGGTCATTTTACATATCCAGTGTATTTCAATCATTTCTTTCCATATAATCTCTTATCATTTAATTCAAACGTATCATCTTTTCCAGTCCTTTCAAATAATTCTGACAAAATAGCACCCTCGATAATTTATTCTTCAGGTATTTACTCATAACTCGGAGATTTCCAGGTTAAAAGTCTTTACAGACATTACTAACGAATTATTAGGAATTTTCCATACAAAAGTAAGATCTCAACCATTAAATCAGTAATTTATCAGTTTAAAAATTGAATCCTCAAAGTACTTTCTCATTCAGGGTCAACTCGGACTATTTTTACCACTCAAGGGCATTTTCGTAATATCTTAACCAGATAATTTTGGTATTAACTCTTAACAAAAATAACTATAATTTAGAGATCCTATGGTTAATCGCTTTCCCGAACATTCTTTAATCTTGAAATGATTCCTTAACATATTTCTAGTATCTTGTATAAACCCTCTTGGGTTAAAAACCGGTTATCAAAATTTCCTAAGTAAAACTAGCATTTCATATGCACATCAGTAGTTTCATCATATCAATATATCTTTTAGAGTTATCAATCAACTTTCAGGGACAATTCTTGTCATTTTTCAACATAAGGGTATTTTCGTATTTTTTTACCCTACCGGAATATTCTCATAATTTCCCATCCAAATACCTTTAACATTAAACCTTTAATGAAATAAATTATATGCTACAAATCCATGATAATTCCTTTATCACTAATCACATAACTCATAATTTAATTCTAACAATCCATCAATTTTTTATATCAGTCATCCGAGCCGTATTCATTTATCGAATTTTTTACCGCATCTATATCGAGTGTAAAAATTAATTAAATACCCAAATGAGGCCAAACATATTCATTCATGCATTTATCAATACCAACATGTTCCATAAAGCATGAAAAGGTAGTAATGTATTACCTCGATTTCCATGTCATACTTATCGACCATATAAATTCCATTCGAACGCCCTCGATCTTTAATCAAACTTCCAATAATTCTTCAAATACATAACAATATAAATTTCATAAAAACGGAACTTAATTCCGAAAAACGGATCGAATCGAGTGATAAATCAATGAAAAAAATAGTTTACCGGGTTTGTATTTGACGAAACAGACTTCGAATTCGGATACATGTGAATGACTTATTACGGCTTACGCATACAGATGGATCGGGAGGTATTTGGTCGAGCTTCCAATTTTTCTCACATATCCGCAACATCACATATACGAACTCGATTCCCAGCATAAGTTCCCAAAAATGGAGGACTGAAATTGTGATTTGACCATCTTCCTATCCAAAACCACGTGACCTTCCAAATACATTTTGAAACAATTATGACATAATCATAATAATTTGGAACTTAGAAAAATAGTTTAAGCTCTTACCAAACTTGGATGGCTTACTTGAAATTTTACCATTCTCACTTTATTAACAATCTCAAAACCATGTGCGCCTATCATTCTTTTATTTTCTTCTCTTAGTCCAACTTAATCTGGATCTCCAACTTGGAAGTGTCACCTTCACCCAGAACTTCTTTGTTTGTGAGTGAAAGGAACCTAATCTTGTCCAACGCATCTACATCATTTGAGATCAACTCCCGGAGGAAAATATCCTTGTTGCTATAAAGAGAATTGATAATAATGTCCATAAGTCGAGACACCTCAGCTTGGAACTCAAATTTCTCCGCATTATTGCGAAGCGATCTAGAAGAAATCAACTCAGTTTCCCTTTTAACGACATCATAATCAGTTTGTAAACCGGTAGGCACAACGTCGATCTTTTCCTCAACTTTTGGAGGATCTACGACTACTTCCTCGGCATTTGCCTGTACTTTTCTACCTTGATCTGAGATGAGACTGAGAAGGCAAATAAGAATCAAAGAAGAAGGGATCACCCACTTCCTCATTATGTTGCTTCAAAACTGCTTTGTTAGTATAATTAATCAGTAAAGAGATCTTTACCTATTTCTCTTTCTTTGCACACATATAATAATCTCAGCTTGCTCTTGCTTAACTCTTTTGCTTCTCTGATGGAGCCTAGAGAAAAAATTATGAAGACGAAGACTAAGAGAGAGATAGACCTTCCTCTGATAGATGAAGTTTTCAAACTTCTTCATGATTTCTGAGTGGCGGTGGTTTCGTAGGTGGGGTATTTAATTAATAGAAAAAAAAATGAATGATTTGATTCAAGCTTCCAATACTCATTGTTCAAATTATCAATTTTAAAACACGGTTTCCATAAAATATCTTAGGTTTGTGGTTCTTCTTTATTTTGAGTATAATAATAATTATTATAAAATAATTCAAATAAATCAATTAATGCACTTTCACGTGAACTCTAGAATATCCCAAAACTAAAGAAGGATAATTTATAAATAAGATTCATCAATTTTTTTTTTACAAAAAATCATATTAACCCAGTAATTTATAATTTTTAAAACTTAGCCCCTATATTGGGGTGTGACAAATCTTGTCCAAACAAGAAATAGAAATAATGTTCTTAGTCAAACTAGGCACATAATAACAATCCTCTAAATTTAAATCAAGTCCACTTGGCAAAGATAAAAATATGTCTCTATAGATAATGATGTAACTCTTGCTCCATTTTCCAATCGTAGGTCCACGTCTCTTTTAGCCAGATTCCTTCTCTTTTGCAGTCCCTGTACAGAAGTACAAATATGAGAACCACACACGGTATCTAATACCCAAGATGTAGATGTTGACAAATTAACATCAATAACATAAATACCTGAAACAAACGTTCCGTTTGCTTTTGCCTTCTTGACCTCTTCAAGGTAAACATGGCAGTTTCTCTTCCAGTGTCCGGTCTTATCGCAATGGAAACATTTTCCTTCTTTGCTAACTCCCCCTTTGGGTTTCAATGCATTTTTCCCTTTTGGTTTGGTCTTACCATTGCCCTTAGACTTTGCCACTACCTTTTTCTTTCCCTTTCCTTTGTCCTTGTGGACCATCAGAATGGGCTTAGGTCCAACCTTTTTCATGTTACTTTCAGCAGTTCATAACATGCCAAGTAACTGTGGCAAAGTCTTGTTAATTTCATTCATGTTGAAATTAAGGACAAATTAGCCAAAGCTATCTGGCAACGATTGTAAGATAACGTGTTGTTTTCCATTAAATCTACAACAATGGAAATATTTAAGTAAGTAAATTTACCGAATTAAAATTTATAAATAGGACTTTATTTACAAATTACTCCCACTATTTTATTCAAAATTAAAAACCCTCTTTGCTTTAATTTTGGAAAAATTCAACGAAAATTTTTCTAGTGGGTGAGGATCCATAATACATCAATTTCCTAAATCAACTTTGGCTTTTCCTTTAGGATAGTGATTATTTAGGTAAGTAACACTTTACTAGTTACATCTCATGTAACTCCTCATTTTGGTGAACAACTTTTGTTCAAGTCATCTCATGACTTATCCAAATATTTAACCTCTAGGTTTCTAATCCTATTATAATAACCTAGCTAAGTTATTACCAATATTTCAACCGGTGAATATCACTTTCTTATTCTTCGCGTTTAACCAAGATAGATTTATGTGCCAATGCTTTGGCAAAGCCCACACAATATCGATCAAAGCCTTAACGAGGGTAAATATTGGACGGTTGAGTTAACTTAGATTATAAAGAGGGATTTATGTAATTATCTCATCATTGTTCGTTTTAATATTAGGCCCTTAATGATCTCATCAATATTTATTCTTATTTTCTCATTTGATGCATTACATACATAACAAATATAAAAATAAATAAGATACAATGGCTATAGCCCAAAACAATGACTAAGGTGGCCCATCCCAAGCCAATGGGAAAACCAAGAACCTTAAAGCCTAAGACTATTCTCTAGGCATCTTCTCTACATTCTTCTGCTCCTTGTGAATCTTCATAGGTTTACAATTTTAAAAGAAACTCGTTTTACATAGGAGGGAGTAAGATTAGAAGAGAAATACAACAAAGATATAGAAAGGCACGGCTCGCATACCGTATTTCAAAATAAACCATTGTAAATTGAACAAAGGCTATAACCATGCATATCAAACACCGTGCAAAAAAACATATCATATATATATACACGTTGTTACGCCTTTCTTAAAAATATTAATATGAGCCTTTAATTTGTACTGTTGATGAGGGGTCAAGGGGCGGAGCCCCTGGCGCGCTTAGGCCGTACCGCAACGGCCGGTGGGATTTTTTTTAAAAAACAATACTTCTGTTTCCATGGAAAAACTTCACGATTTGATAACAATTATCAACAGAATCATGCTTTTGGGATTTTCAATCCCGAAGTTTTCTACATCGGAACAACCATTGTTCCACTTTCAAACGCGATCTGCTATCAAACTCCCACAGATCATCCAACAACAAAACGATTGAAAAACATATTAACATATTAAACTTTGTGGTTATCAATTCGAACAATAATATCAGCATATTTACCGAAATCGATAAAACTAAAACATGCATCTCATACATACCGCATCAACCAAAAATTTAACCCAACTTTAGATCATACAAGTGGCTCTGATGCCACTGTTGGAACCGTCGGCGCACCCCATGGCGCAGCGAAAACAAAACTCGACGGTCTCACCAGCGATCCAAGTATGAAAAACTGAAATCATGAGGAAGAGATACGAATACTTACAGCGGGTTCCTCAAAAAACAGCAAGGACAACAGTGAATACTGGTGGTGTAGATCGGTTCGAATCGTAAGCCTCCATGAAATCACGTCTCGGCCTCTACTCAGTTCACCCGATTGAGAGCAATATTTTTCTTCCCCAAAACAGTTTTGAGAGAAAAACGGCTGAAGGTTTTTTGTGTGTGTTGTCAAACGGCTGCTAGACCTAACACACCCTTTTATAGCCAAGTTACCCTGATCATATTAGGGTTTTATTATTTCAAATTAATTAAATCTATATTTAATTAATTGAAATTTAATAATCCTTTTATATCCAAGTTACCCTAATCATATTAGGGATTTTATTATTTTAAAATAATTAAATCTATATTTAATTAATTGAAATTAAATATTTGGGATTATTAAAACATATATTTAATTAACTCTCTATATATATATTTTAGTAACGTACAACGAATTGTACATCTTTGCTCGTTTCAATCCTAGGTTGTGACCTTGTAGGTTCTTGTAACGTTAGCAGTAATTATTAGAACAATTCTAATATTACATACAATGTAACATCCCAATTTAGGGGCTAAATTTTAAGAAATTATAAAGTGGTGGATTTAATTGGTATTTTGAAAGAAACAGTGGATTAAATTGTAAAATTTCAAAGTTTGCAGACCGTTTTAAGAAGTGCAGGAAGTTCAGTGACTAAACTCTTGGTTTACCCAATTTTTATATAGGTTGAGTTATAAAACTCTTCCCCCGTGCGCAGTTCAGTATAATTTTCCAGTTTTGTCTTCTCCAACTACCCTCCTTTCAACTCCGATCTACTCACCGTCCGACCTTCGATCGACGAACCGAAACCACCATCGTGTTCATTGTCAATCGAGGAACAAAACCCCTCAAACCTTTCGTCGTGAATCATCGTCGTTCGTCGTGAATTTCAGTCGGAAGTATCGTCGGTAATAATTCGGTTTTAGTTGGTTTTTCATCGATTCACGACGATCGGGTCATCCGTTTACGACACCTCCCGCACCATCGTGTTCGTTGCATCGTTCCGAGTTCGTCAGTGCCATCCTTGGTCTCCGTTAACGGTGGCGCGTGAGGAGGTGAAGCGGTCAAAGTTTCCAATTTGTTGAAATCGAGCTCTCCGCCGTTCAAAATTATGAACCGAGCTTTGTAAGTATCTCGAAATCGCTCAAAATAATTTTTAGAAATTTTTCCGGGATTTTAGCACTGTTCACGCGCCCCCACGTACCGCCACTGTTCGTGGGGAAGGAAAAAGTGACCGGTTTGACCGGTTTTGGAACTGTTTTGACCGGTTTGACCGGTCATAACCCGACCCGACCCGACCAGTTGACCCGACCTGTTGACCCGACCCATTTACCCGACCCGTTGACCATTGACCCATTGACCGTTGACCGGCGTTGACCACTGTTGACCAAAACTTTAACCGGCTTTGACCGGGCATTAAACGACCTTTGACTTCGACCGAGTATACCTATCTTGACATTTTTTGACGTTCCAAATCCGATTCCGCTGTCTGTTTTTCGAAATTTGAACCCGAAGGCTTCGAAATTGCCGGTCAAACCCGTTGACTTTGATTTTGACCGAAAATTCCAAATTTCTGAAAAGTCATATTTTATGCTTTCGACGTCCTGAATCCGAATCCGAAGTTTGTTTCGCCAAATTCGAACCCGGTAAGCCATCTTTCACTGATTTATCACCCGATTCGATCCGTTTATCGTAATTAAGCTTCGTTTATGATATAATTTATGTTGATATGTATCTGAGGAATTATTGGAAGTTGAATTGAAGATCAAAGGCATTCGAATGGAATTTTTATGGTCGATCAGTATTGCACGGAAATCGAGGTAATATTTTACTACCTCTTTATGCTTTATGGAACATGTTTATATTGATAAATGCATGAACAAGATAATGTTGGTCACTTTGGTGGAGTTGAATAGTTTATACACTCGATATGATGTGGTAGAAATTCTGTAACTAATTACGGATCGAATGACTAATATAAGAGATTAAGGAATTGTGAGATTAAATTACAAGTTTGTGATTAGTGATAAAGAAATCAGCCCTGTATCAGCAACTTATAATTTATTTCATCAAAGGTTAAATGTTAAAGGTACTTGGATGGGAAATTATGAGAATACTCCGGTAGGGTAAAATTATGAAAATACCCTTATGTTATAAAAAGACAAGATTTGAATATGGAAGTTAAATAAGAGGATTTTACAGACATATTGATCTGATAAAAATATTGATGTGTATAAGAAATGTTAGTTTTATTTGGAAATTATGGATAACCGGTTTTAATCCTATGAGAATTTGTGAAGGATACTATAAGTTTGTTGAGAGAACCGTTTCAAGATCAGAGAGTATTCAAGAAAGCAATTAATCATAGGATCTTTAAATTATATTATTTTCGTTAAGAGCTAATATCGAAATTATCTGGTTAAGAAAT